GTGGTATGCGGGCCTCTCACTGTTGTGGCCTCTCCCGTTGCGGAGCACAGCCTCTGGACGCACAGGCTCAGCGGCCATGGCTCACGGGCCCAGCTGCTCTGCAGCATGTGGGATCTTCCCAGACCGGGGCACGAACCCATGTCCCCTGCATCGGCAGGCGGACTCTCAACCACTGCACCACCAGGGAAGCCCTCCCATAAGTTTTGATATGTCATGTTTTTATTTTAATTTATCTCAAAGTATTTTCTAATTTCCTTTCTAAATTCTTCTTCCCCCCAGTGGTTATTTAAGAGCATGTTGTTTAATTTCCATACATATTTATGAATTCCCCAAATTTCCTTCTGTTACTCATTTCTAACTTAATTTCATTGCAGTTGGAGAACATACTTTATATAATTTCCATCTTTCAAAATTTACTGACACAGTTTATGGCCTAATGTATGGTCTACCCTGGAGAATGCTTCATGTGCACTGGTATGAATGTGTATGCTGTTGTTGGTGGAATGCTCAGTATATGTGTGTTAGGTCTACATGTAGTTTATAATGTTGTTTATGGCCTGTGTTTTCTTGCTGATTTTCTGTTCTATCCATTTTTTAAAGTGTTGCATTGAAGTCTCCATCTAGGATTATTGAGTTTTCTATTTCTCCCTTTAATTCTGTGAGTTTTGCATAGCATATTTTGGGGCTCTTAGGTGAATATGCATTTATAATTGTTATATCTGCTTGGTAAATTCACCCTTTTATCATTATATAATGTTATTTTTTGGTCTCCATTAGCACTTTTGTCTAAAAGTCTATTCTGTGTGATATTAGTGTAGCTACTCTGGAGCTTCTTTGGTATGGAGTATCTTTTTCCATTCTTTCACCTTCATTTGTGTCTTTGAATCTACAATTGAGTCTCTTGTAGACAGCATATAGTTGGATCACCTTTTTAATCCTTTTTCCAATGTCTGCCTTTTAATTGAAGAGGTAGCCTATTTCCATTAAGTGTAGAATGGACTTAACTCTACCAGTTTGCTGTTTTCTATATAGCCTTTTGTATTTTTTTGTTTCTCAAGTCTTCCATTATGGTCTTTTTGGATATTAAGTGGATATTTGGATATTTTCTAGTGTGCCATTTTAATTCCCTTGTCATTTTTTTTCCTCGATATTTTTGAATTATTTTCTTAGTGGTTGCCCAGGGGATTACAATTAATGTCTTCATTTATCTAGTTCACATTAATATCAACTTAATTTCAATAGTATACAAAAACTGCTCCTATACAACTCCTTCTCCCCCCTCTTTTATACTCTTTCTGTAAACAAATTAAATCTTTATATCCTGTGTGTCCATTATCATAGACTTGTAATTATTGTTTTATGCAGTTTTCTTTTAAATGAGATGAAAAAAAGAGTTATAAATTAAAAAATACATTTATGCTCTGTTTTATATTTTCCTAGGTAGTTGTATTGATAGTTACCTTTACTGATGCTCTTTATTTCTTCATGTGGATTTGAATTACTGTCTAGTGTCCTTTCAGTTCAACCTGAAGGACTCCATGCACCATTTCTTGTTAGGTAGGTCTGCTAGTGATGAACTTGCAGTTTTTGTTTATTTCAGAAATTCTTAATTTCTCCATTTTTGAGAATGGTTTTGATGGATATTGAATACTGGGTTTACAGTTATTTTTTTACCCTTTCAGCACTTTGAGTAGGTCATTCTGTTGCCTTCTAGCTTCCATGGTTTCTGATGAGAAGTCAGTTATTAATGTTATTGAGGATCCTTTTTATGTTATGAGCTGCCCTTCTCTTACTGCTTACAGTTTGATTATAATATGTCTAGGTGTGGATCTTTTTGAGTCTATCCTAGTTAGAGTTGAGGTTCTGGAATGTGTAGATTAATGTCTTTCATCATGTTTGGAAAGTTTTTGGCCATTATTCAAATATTCTTTCTGCTCCTTTCTCTCCTCTTTTTCTGGGAATCCTGTTATGCATATGTTGATGTTTGAGGATGTCACACAGACTTTGGAGGTTCTGTTCATTTTTCTTCATTCTCCTTTCTTTCTGTTCTTTAGACTATATAGTCTCAATTGACCTCTCTTCAAATGCTTTCCTTCTTCTGCCTGCTTGAATCTGCTGTTGAGCCCCTCTAGTGAATTTTCACTTCAGTTAGTATAGTTTTTCAACTCCAGAATTTCTGTTTGGATTCTTTTATAATTTCTAATTCTTTATTGATATTCTTTATTTGGTGAGACACCATTCTTATACTTTCCTTTAGTTTTGTAGGCATACTTTTCCTCACCTCTTTGAACACACTTAAAATAGATGATTTAAAGTCTTTGTCTAGAAAGCGCAACCATTGGGCTTCCTTGTGCACAGTTTTTATCGATTACTTTTTCCCCTGTTTATGGGCCATACCCTCTAGTGTCTTTTTACACATTACAACTTTTTTGCTGAAAGCTGTACATTCTGAATATTTTAATATGACAACTCGGGAAATCAAATTCTCCCCCATGCCCAGGGTTTCTTTCTTTCTTTCTTTTTTTCTAGCTGTTTGTTGTAGTTTTTATTGTTTGTTTGTTTAGTGAGTCTGTATTCTTTGTATAGTTTGGCCACTGAAGTCTCTGTTTTATTACCTTGGTGGTGTGCTCATGACTGGAAAGAGATTTATTGGAACACCTGGAAACGAAATACCCCCATTCTTTGCCAAGGGGCTCTGTGTGCCTGTTGAGGGAAGCCTTCAACACTCAGCCAGACAGTTTACAACTCTGCCTTAGCCCTCATTTCCTGCTTGTGCAGACCATCAAGGTCATTCAAGAGTGAGAGCTTAGGGCATTTTCAAGTCTCCCCCAAGCATGTGCACAGCCCTGGGCATGTATGTGGCCAGATAGAGTCCCAGAAATACATCTGAGCTTTTCACAGCCCTTACAGACACTTCATTCAGCAGTTTTTCCTCCAAAGCTTCTTGGTTAGTGTATTGTTTGCCCCAGCAGATATCTATTGCCTTAGGCAACCATGACTAAAATATTTGCCTATGTTTTTAACAAAACATTCCCCCCACCCCTGCCCTCCCCAGGTGGTAGTTTTAGCACTGGGTAAGTTCCTGGTAAGATGAAATAATGACAAGTTTTTTGAGCCAGTCTCCCAGGAAGCCACCAGACAGGTCAGATAATTCATTGTGAATGAAGTCTGTTCTGTTTCCTCCAGTAGCAGG